AGTCAAGACCACCTTCATAGAGAAGACATTGGTTTTCCAGTCGGGGATACAGGGCTGGGAGCTCAGTAAGGACCTCTTTGAATATGGGCCCAAGCACGTAGTCTAATTGCACATGGCGACGAGGGACAAAGATACGTCCATCAATAGCGCTTTTCTCCCCAGCTTTGTACTTTTCGCATTCTGCATCAATAATCCTCTTCAGGGCCACAGATGGGCTCGTACGCTCTACGACTGATACTGAAGGAGAAGCCATTGACGGTATGTTTTTCTCGACTATGAAACCGAGAAAGGAAGTAGAGAGAAGCCGGCGATCGGTAATAAGAGGGGTTTGTGCGATTAGAAGAGCAAGTGATTTCAGAACACGAAATAAAAGGGTTTTTAAAGCCCTCGCATTTGAAAATATATTACATGAGCTGTTAAGTATTAAAAGTATGAATACAAAAGCTTCCTTCAATATTGATGCTTTTAGAGGGAAAAACAAAGCCCAGTTGTTAAGACTAGCTTCGAAGTAAGATATTTTGCTTCGAAGCCGAGTTAAACGGCTTCGAAACAGAGAAGCCAGCTTCGAAGTAGGTTGCCATACCCAAAATATAAAAATACTCGAGTGTTTATTTCACTTAAAAGAGTTTAAAGACATGTTTTTAGGTTTTTTAACAAAGGTAATGTCCTTCGAAGCAAAACTTGAGATTCTTTAAGGATGAGATTTGGTGTTTGAAACATCAAAAGCAATAATGACAATGACTAGATGTTGGCTATGGTCAAAACAGGCTTTAAGTGTAAGATTGCTAGATTCAAAGCACTGTTTCCAATTGAAAGTTAGCCAAAACTTTATTCCAAAAATTGGAAAGGTTTACAATTGGCTCATTTAGTGTTTCATTTAAAACAATTAAGTCCAGATTCAAAGGATGAAATTGTTCGAAGTTCGAAGCTCTGAGTTGACTTTCAAAACACAAGTGAAAACACAAGTGAAGACAGGGTCAAACAAAGACAAATGAAAAAGAATTTTGTTTATATTAAGATCAGAGCGATTATATCAGCTGACCCTATCTCGGTATGAACTCGAGCTCATAAAAATAAGGAATGGAATAAATAACAAGATCATGAAATTTAGTCCAACAATGATCAATGAACTTTTGTTCTTTCCTTATTCTATCTTCTAAATTTTCTAGCATTGGCTGCATAAGTTGATGTGCTCTCACTTCATAGTAGAGCTCTTCAGCCTTTATTTCGAAAGCCACTTCTCTTAATCCTTGTTCCAATTCATCAATGTCTAAGTCATCCCAATACGCAGAATCTTTATTCTGGAAATCATTGAATTCTTCAATAAAGTTCTCTGCTTCGTACTGAGCATGAATTCGAAGGGACGAAAGTTGGTCTAAAGATTTGTAGTAGCCACAGAATTTCGATGCCAGTAAAGGAGCAATGGAAGTTGGTCCAGAAACATATGAAGTTCTGCCTGAGCAAGGGGATTAAGGACATGGCCCCTAGTCAGAATATCACAAGCCCATCGAAGGTTCTTGAGAGGGACTTCGTCCTCGAGTACATTAAAAGGCAAGTGAGAGAAGGCTGCAAGCAGAAGTTGAGCCTGTTTCCGCTCAGCTGGGGTAGGAGGAGGTAGAGGTTTATAAGGTGGAAAGACATTCTCCATGGATAGGGCAATCTTCAATTTCTTTGTCCAGGAAAGAATTGGTAGGGCAGAAGGTATGCATACTTCAATTTCGGGAGACGAAGAAGAAGGTGTGGACGCTTCTGTTTTCGAGGATGATACGGGAGCAAAAGGAACAAAGGCATTAATATAATCAAGCCAGTCAGAAGAACAGATCTTCGCCTTCTAGGCTAAGAATGATGGGTTATACCCTTGTGCTTCTTCTGGGCGAGGGGCAACGCGCACTATCTTTGTAGGCATGGAAGATGTATACCATGCTACAAGAAGATTCTCCCCCAGACTACGCCGATGGTCAATGGGCACATAAAAAAAAAAAAGAGAAAAATCAGCGTATCTCTTGATCTCTCACCAAAAGTCAAGATGTATTTTTTAACATGTCAACTGCTAGAGAAATCACTCATATTTATAATAGAAACATTCTATTAAATTCAAACTCACAAAAAATGAGATTCTAGTTTCTAAATTAATTTAGCTTTCTTATATAGTCCAATTCAAAATTAATAAGAAAACACCGTTTCTCAAATCCATATTTGCAATTTTCCGAATCAAAGGTTTGAGAGCAGATTGTTCGAACTGTAAAGGTAGGTCAGAGGGGAAAATTCTTATGTCTATGTTTGTAGCCTTCTGAATCGAAGGATTAAGAGTAATGTGTTCGTAATCCAAAGGTCGGTAATTTGCAAAGGCGTCCATGACCTGAATATAGAAAGGTGGGTAAAGGTGGCCAATAAATGCATGCTTTCGATGAGAAATAGCATCGACATATGACTCTTCGTATGCTTCATCGCTGGAGGAAAGAATTAATTTGGTCATTGAAATGTATCAGTCTGTTCGAATAATAAGACAGTGAAAGTACTTAAAGGATCAAGACGAGAGTATTAATACAGATGGTGTGTGACAGTTGCATTTTTTGGAAGATGCAAAACCTATGCACGTTCTAAGACGTGGGAAAAGGGACCCTGATCCACTAATATCACCAAGTCTTGGGTATATTAGTGCGGGGGGTAATGTTGGCTACACATTTTGTGCTAGCCATGGACAATTCGACGCGTGGCAAAGTAAGGGTAATATGGGGAGACCAGGTAGGTCTTCGATCCTGATCATACACATGGCAGTTAATATTGGTTATTATAAGATCTGAGTAGTAGCGGATCAACAAAGAGATGTACGGTGACGTGGCATCAACGGTTGCTCACATTCAAATTCGAATATAGGGGGAAAGCCTAACTGCAAGTGAAGGCGTAGTGGAACTACTTATAAGGTAGCATGATCAGCGATTACGGAGAAGCAGTTCGACGGTTTGAAGTACAATTCGATGCTTATCTTCGGAAAGTATAAATAGCAGGAAGGACTTCAGAGAAAGGGACGAAGAAAGATCTAAAGAATTACTTTACATATTCCAGTGTTATTTCCTGTCCTTTATATTTCTGTACTTTAAGTTCCTGCGCTGCACTTCATTTGTAGGAGTAGTTTTCGAGTATATCGCCGCTGTAATTCTCTACGGAACTAAGATCATTGTAAGTTTTTCATACTAATGAAATGCTTCAGTTTATTTAACTGTTCTTATGCTCAAGTTCTCTGAAGTCAAATTACCAGTAAGCCACTAGTAAAAGTCTTCTTTATTGAGGCCAAAAGAACCATAACACAATCGTCTAAATAATTGTTTGGCAATTACAATTCTGTAAGGACTGATTGATCCTTGCTGGCACGCTCATAAATTATAAAAGTAACCTTCGAAAGCCAAAAAGCCAACAGTTTCTCACAAGAAGCAAAGTGATAAACCTGTCAGCATAGGTAGCTTAACCATTAATCCACTTGAGAAGTTGTATTGTCGAAGACTCTTAACATTCAAATCCTTCAACAATCATCAGCTGGGATGGTATCAACTATTCTCGGGCTGCAAACTTTTGGATTGGTAATCAAATTCATAATGGTTTCATGTCAGAACCACCAATACCAAATCCTCAGGCATATTTTAATCAAATTCAAAACCTGGAGCTCGTATAATGTAGGTTAATAGAGATTATTTTCTTGAATTTGGAAGGAAGAAAACATGGACAAAAAAGACTTCAGAAACCTATCCAATTTAAAAACTATATCAAAAGCAAGCGAAAATGCCACCAGAATTTTGTTACAGAAAGTAGTATCTTCTAAATTTAAAACTATCACCAAGAATAAAGATCAAGAATACAAAGAAAAGAAAACAGAACAGGTTTGTGTTAGAATTGTCACGGTAACTGAACATGGAGGTGGGAAACTCAAATGAAACTCTCAATTTGTATGCTGAAAGAAAAATCACTCTACAATGGACTGGATAACGCCAGCATCCAGAGTCTTCCCACCTTCTCTAATAGCAAATCTCATTCCTTGCTCACATGCCACAAGCATAATTAGCTCTACCACCATTTTGACACGATCCCCAGGCATAACAATCTTCGACTCCTCATCCTCGTCATTCATAATTGAAGCCATCCTCCCGGTAACATTAGTAGTTCTCTTGTTTCTTTTTCAATACATACATAATTGCAACAAACTTAGTATGCGGCGTGATCATCCCCAGCTTAGCCAACACCATACCTCTCCGAACATCAACCTTCTGTACACCCCTAAGCAAAAGCCCATCATTAGCACCAGCAAGTGCTTCATCAAGAATCTTCTGAAACATCTCAACCCGTTGTAGTTCTAGTCTCTCTCAACCCAACAGTGGCAGCATTATCCCCAACTTTAATTTTCCCCTTTCAACCCTCCCAGTAGCCACTGTCCTGCGCCCAGTAATTGAAAACATATCTTCAATAGCGAGAAGAAAGGGCAAATCAATCTGTCTTTGGGGAATTGGTATATAACTATCAACAGAGTCCATTAATTCATAAATTCCATCAATCCATTGATTATCACCCCTTTTTATATTAGGGTTTACCATTAATGCATCTAAAGCTAACAATGCAGAACTAGAAACAATCGGAACGTCGTCTCTAGGAAATTCATAAGACGATAAAAGTTGGGTACCTCCAATTTGACCAATTCCAGAAGCTCTTTCTCATCAATTTGGTCCTGTTTACCCCAAAAAACAATGTTTGGAACCCTAAACCGACCTCTTTCGCAAGCAAAATGTGTTCCTTCGTTTGCCGCATTGGACTGTCGGTGTCGAAAACCACGAGAATCAGACTGTCCATTTGGGCAGCACCAGTGATCACGTTCTTGATGTAGTTAAAGTTTACCCTTAATCTTAACCCTTAATTTGCATAATTACTACTTTTCTCAAAACTATTCATCAAGAGAAAATTTAAACAATTCTATATTATTTTATTTATTTATTTTGTAAATTGAAAGAGTAACAGAAAGGAACACATTTATATTTGTTCTTATTTTAAAATATTTTCCCGGGAATTATTTTTTGTACAATATTCATAGCAATTGATATGCTAGTAATTTTTGTCCCTTCGGGGATATCCAATAAGCTAGCAACTTTTCGAGTGCTACACATACATATGAAAGTATCCTTGAAAGTACACCAATAAATGCATAGGGCACCTAAATTGTCCGGCGCACAATACAGTGGAACAAATTCAAACTTACACATACATATGAACAACATATATGTATATATATATTCTCACTGGCAATGCCCTTCTGGGAGACCTACGACCCTGTGGAAGGGTACAATCCTTTGTAGCAAAGATCCATCTTTCTCCTCATCGTCATCAAATTCCAAGACATAACTGCCACAACAACATGAAAACTACGATCACAACCATATTCAAAGGCATTTTTAAGTTACAAATCCCACAAACATCCATCATGAAGACGAAGGGTATGTTTGGTTTAGTTTTGTAGAGTGATTTTGGGAAATTTTTTTTAAAAAACTTGTTTGGTTTGTAATTTTTCCAAAACAATTTCCAAAATCATTTTCTCTCTCTTACACATTAATCAATCATTTTTTCTCTTTCCTCTCTTCTTGTTAATCACTTTTTCTTTCACACACATCTACTCAATTACAACAAAATATCAAATCATTCCAAACTCTAAAACTACTTTCAAAATACACAACCAAACAAACTAAAAAAATTTATAAACTCTCTCTCCAAAACAATTTTTAAAAACTACTCTCTCAAAACCAAACCAAACACACCCAAAATTTCTGGGATTAGCTCCATTACCCCTAATAATACCAACTCACATGGAAATTATATCACTAATTGTTTTCCAAGCATTCAAGATCCCATTGTTATTCAGCATATTAAATCATGTTATCATTAACAAAAGTTTAAATAAAACTTATCGGGATAAAAAATAGTTCACTGTTTTACCCAATTACACTTTGTTTGGAAGAACAGAAGAGAAAATAAAAGAAATGATTACTTCAATTAGGAGAGAAAAGAGAATGAATTCTTTTTGGTTAAACTCATGAGAGAAGAAAAGAAATTGTTTCATGTTATATTACCAAAATAATCTTTTATATGTTTTTATAGGTGTCAGCTTTTCTATTTCTTCTATATGTTGGGCAGTTTTGGTATTATGAAAAATAGTATTCTATCGATTACTTTTCTCTCCAACCTCTCCAATTTTGGAGAGATTTAAAATGAGAATTTTAAGAGAATTTGTTTTCTTTCTATTTCTTCCCAATTCACAATAATTCTCTCCTCTTTATTAGTCCAAAACACAAGTGATATGAACAAAGAGAAATGCATTTATTTATTTTTTTCTTTCCAAATTCCCCAATCCAAACCAACTGTAAATAATTATATCATCTGGCATTTCTATTTGGTTCACAAATGCCACAAAAATGCATTATTCCCGTGTGTGTAATATTCAAATAAAAGAAAAGAGGAAGCCACTTACTCATCAGCCCTCCTCTGAAAATTCATGAAAAATAGTCGAGAACATCATGTGGCATGCAAAATGCAAGAAGTGGTCAGTTCGGCCGTGCACCACCAGGTTCAAATTTTAAAGAAGCCGGAGAATCAAATGCAAGAACAACAAATCACAATTTGGATCCGAAACACATGGACAAACTGTTTACCTTGCGAGGTTGAACTACAGTTGCTTTATACAATGCAGTTGCTGACGGATACACAGCCAAAACTTGTTTCCCAGTAGGGAAATCTCGAGCACCAGAGGGATCATTCCGCTTTGGGAAAGGTATAATATGTGACCAAGGCAGCTTGTACATTCTGAAATTAGAAATTCGATAAAGAATTAAAATCCATCTTTCAGATGTCGTAATAAACCACATTTGATCAAGTAAACAGTAAGAAACAAAATGCATTGTCTAAACCCTCAATATTTCTGATTATTGAATTTAAGAAGTCAATCTAAAGCAATCCAGGAAGTCACAACAAAAGTTACCTCTGGCCGCCACCCTCTTCATCATCACCAGGCTCCTCATCAAGTACTTCAAATCTGTATATAAAGATATATTAGACAATGATTAAATAGTTATTAAGATAAAATAAAACAGTCATGTTCTTCATTTTGTTCCATCACAATTAAGCTTCCAACATACGTTATAGCTCTTTCTCCTCCTACAAAACTACAGAGAACCTATTATAGGAGGATGGCTGTTGAGAATAACAACAAATAATATTTTCCGGTGTATACAAACATGACAGGACATCTCACCACCTAAGCCACAAAGCAAGATATGTGCATCAAATTTGGAACATACAACCAATGGTGAACCCAAAAACCTTATCCAGTATCAAATTTGCAAAATGCAAGAAATTTGTTTTAAAACTTTCCACATTGTTGCTACTCCATTCCGTGAGGCTTCCATGTCAATATAAAAGCCTCATCCTAATGAATGCTATCCCACATCAGCAATGCACTAAAGCTTAAAAGCCTTTGGTTCTATTAGAAGATGGCACACACACTCGTCTTCCAACGTGGATGAGCTGTCTCATGTGAAGGGAGCTTGTGCCATATGCTGTAGGTCCCACCCGTGTAAAACTCACGAATTTGACCATATAAATTCACGGATTTGACCCATTTTTGCATCAAAGACTTGCACTTCAATAACAAGAAGCAATAGTCATTGCTTTCTCAACAAAACATATTAGACCAGCCCGTCTGGTGGCCAAATCAACAGAACAATTTGATTTATGCTTCATAGATTATCAGATTAAACTTCAAACATATTCCTTGGTCCAAAAAACAAAAACTTAAAAAGAAAAAAGATAAGGCGTGCGTGCATGTGTGTGAGAGAGAGGAGGGGTGCAGGAGAATGAACGGCATCCAAAGCACAATCTTATGTTGGGTGGAACTGAAACTGAACTTACTCTCTAGTTTCCCTATCAAAATGAATAACTTTAACAACGAACCACTCATCATACTCAGCATTTTCTTGTGTGACCCTAGCTGCTACCACTACAACAAATCGCACCTTTGGCGACCATTTTTAGCGACTAATCAAATTTTAGTCACCGAAAGTACATTTTTTGGCGAATAAAATTTATATTTGTCGGCATTGGTTCAAGATATCTCTACTAAAATATTTTAATCAATAAATATTGCTTATTAAATTTAAATTTAGTCGGTAAAAACTCAAGTTTCAACGACTAAAAATTTGATTGGTCGCTGTTAGCCCAAATTTTAGGCCCAAAAAAAAATAAATTAATCATTAATATTGGTTTTTCCCAACTAAAATTAAAATTAGTCGCCAAATAGTACTTTTGGCGACTAATATTTTCGTCGCTGTTAAGTAACCCTTTGGCGACAAAAAAATTGGTTGGCAAATATAAAGTTTTGGTGACTAAAAAAAATTTTAGTCACGGTACATTCATTTTGTCCGACCAAAAAAAACTAGTCACCAAATGTCTACTTTCAACGACTAACATTTTAGTCGCTGTTAGAATTGGTTTGGCTACTAAATAATTTAGTCATTATTACTTTAATTTTTGCTGACAAAATTTTACATTAGTCGCCAAAGGTGCCAAAATTATGGTGGGAAAATAAAGAGATATTTGTTGCCTGCCCAGGTATTCTCCTCTGTTTAGAAATACAAAATGCTTCTCTCTCTCCCACACATCAGTCACCACCACACCTCACCTTACCGCCAGCGCTCACCACCGGGAAGCATTCGACGTCGCACATCGCCACTGCCACCACCGCAATACCAGGTTATCTCTCGCTCTTCCTCTCAGTCTCGCGCTCTCTCTCGCTCTCACTATCGCTCTCCCACTTGTTGTATCCCCAAATCGACGAACAACGACGTGATGACGAACAATTCATTGCTGATCTGCTCTGGTTCTCCCTAAATCTCTCCACCGTAGGGTTTTGACTTTATCTTCCTTCACATTATAGGGTAAGTTTTTCTCTATTGCATAGATGTATCCATAGACTCGTGTCTCTGTGTTTATAAAGATGGTCAAATTTATGTAATTTTTTCAGGTAAATTGTTTGATTTTGTTGGACTCTTTGTGGTTCAATTAAAGGTTGATTTCAGTCTGTTAAAGTGATTAGATAGATTGTAAGCCATGGGTTCCCATTCTGTTTTCATGTTATGCTTCGCTGCTTAGGGTTTAATTTTGTTCAAGGTATGATAAGTTAGATTGTAATTTGTTTGATGTGTGATTTTTTATTTTTTTTTTTTGGTTGTGAATTTTAGGTTTTCAACTTCAAGAAGGGGTTCATTCAAAAAAGAAAAAAGAAAAACACTTCGAGAAGCGAAATTAGTATTGGCTTCAAATGGGCAAACCACAAAACCCCCACCAAACCCATCTCTATTGCAAAGTGGCCAAGTTTTCCAAGTAATATGCAATGGAGTTTGTTATGTCGCTTAGCAGATGGCTTCATTCTTGATTTATTGTGTATTAATGTATGGATTTCATTAAGTTTAATTTGATGGATAAGAGTCAAGATTTCCTTAATATATATATATATATATATATTTTGGACTTGGGGCTTGTTTTTTGGAAAAACAAAGGGACTGACTATGGACTTTGGAGGATAGCTTTCCTTGGTTATTTTATTTCAATAATAAGAAAATGAGATAAAATATGCATTTATGTATAACATTTTCCTTTTTTTCAGAAAATGTTTTCCATCCAATCACACGTAACGTAAATGTGCTAATCTTCTTTTTAATTGGTGTCAAACCTTTTATTGACAAAGCAGTTGGCGTTAGACCAAGAGATTCAAAAGTATCACATCAATTTCTTGCTTACATATTTTGCTATATTTGAAGTCATTCTTAATATACCCCATCTGTAGTTAGCTAGAAATAAGGATTTTAGGGTGATAATTCTTTTATTAGAATCATAAGCAAATATGATTGTGATTTTCTTCTTAAACTGGTGCATCATTTTGGTTCTGTACTTGTGTTCATTCTTCATTTTCTGATACTTGTACTATTCCTTGCATATATATTGTTTCTCAAAATGAGTAGTGAAGCTCAGAATGGTAGAAGTGGTGCATGGAAAATGTTGATTGCTACCCCTACCTCTATCACTTCTTTATCTGATTGAAGTTAGGTTTTATTCAAGTGTAAAAAAAATTTAGTGCTAATGGTGCTAATGGGCTGGAAATTGTTTAGATTCGATTCAAGTTGGACTGGATGCACGTTGTCTTTATAGGTGGTACAAGCACTTCAGCTCCTATTCCAGCAAGTGGTTCTCAAAGGTCACTCCATTAGTATTGAAACTATTAGACTTTTGCTTCAGCTTTATATGAATCTAGCTTTATGACATCAGTTCGCTTGTTTGACCAAGTCAATTTATTTCATTGAACTAATTGTTTATTAGTACTCTCAATATTTTGGAATTTTTGACTGATTCATAGATATTTTTTTGGATGTTTAAAATCATATTCTAGACATTAATGAATTTTATGGTTGTTTATTAGTACTCTCATCATTTGATGCTTATTGGAAATTAATGAATTTTATGGTTGTTTATTAGTACTCTCATCATAAAGAAGAGACCTCCAACTACCATATGAACTCCCTCAACTTCTTTATCTGGTAATCTCTTTGTTCTCCTCATTTCTCTCTCAAATCTCCTCTCTCTTTGTTTCTTCTTATTTTATTATTTGAATCTACTTCTAGGGTTTGGATCAACGTATTCACCAATTCTTCTCTTACCTGATGTCTGTCGTGATTTTGAATTGGTTAATTCTTTCCCTCTTTCATCAATTCTGTTATTTGAATTGTTCTGTTCGGTTATGTGTTGAATTTTGATCGGGATTGCTAGAATTGATCACCTAAGTATGTTTTGGTGGTTTTGGGGTCCTTAGAGACATGTTTGGCACAACAGAAACAGATCAATAGAGGAAGTTTTCCAAACGGTTTTGTTTTTGGGACTGCCTCTTCTTCTTATCAGGTTGGTTTTTTTTCTTCATGAGTGTTAATTTACTCATGAGTTGTTTCATTTACTCATTTGTACTATTGGATTTTTTTTTTTTTTTTGACAAGTATTTTTCTATCTCCTTGGGATTTTTATTTTCTAGAAGGTCAATGGAAGAAGTTATTTGGCTATAGCATCAGCTTTAGAATCATCTAAGCATAAGTTTAAATGCTTACAGGATTCCCTGAGGCCGCGGGAGGCACAAGGAGTTAAGAAGCTTCCAAAGTGAGTGCTCAAGTAATTTTTCTACCTGAAAGACTTAGATTCTCCTTTTTCTTATTCAGATAATTGGCTATAAACTCCATGCTCTTTCTTTTCTCTGAAACATTGTTCTTTTAATGAATGCGACTCTACGGTGATTATGGTGTTTACATTCTGGTTCCGTATGGTATAAATTTTAAAATCACTGCTGTAATTATAGCGCGCACACAGTATAATGGTTGATGATGTTACATCTTTCAAACTTAATAACATATGTGCATAAATGTTCTTTTGTTTCCATAGAACTTGTCGAACTATTTAGTTGACGATACATATCTATATCTACAAATTGTCAGAAAATTTGCTTTATGCATCTGTCAAATTTGAGGTGCTATTGTAAAGAAGTTAGGATATGTATAAGATTAAGGAGTAGTGTTTGAAAATAAACTATTTAAGCATCTTCTTTCCAATTTTTCAAGACTCAAGTAATTAGCATTCTTTTGCTCATCTTGCTGTCCATTTGTTACTCTTGGTGGTGGTTCACCTTTTTTATTCCAAGTTTATGTTCATCTTTGTGTCACTAGATTCCTTCTTAGGCCTCGTTTGGCAAGAGGCTATTTTAGCCAATTAGCCAAAAAGTTACTAAATTAGCCAAAAAGCCAACAATTCATACCAAAAAGTCAAAGATTCTCTTTTCTCTCTACTTTTTGCACATCTTTTCGTAATTAGCCAAAAAGTCATCCCAAACATACAAGTTTTTTTTACCTACCTTTTTAGCCAAATAGCAAAAAAGTTACTAAATTAGCCTGTTCCCAAACGAGGCCTTAATCTTAACATAAGCTTCTTGTTAGTAGCATAATAATTGACTGTGTGAATGAATATTCAGTAATGCTCTTCATTCATTATGCTTTGAGCCTTCTGGTACATGTTTGGAACATTCATGTTACGAATAGAGACACACATCAATTGGAGTTTTATACTTGTCAATAAGTTTGAAAATTAGGTGGCCAAATATCAAATTTTATACATGCAGATTTGCAAATTCACTAGTAGAATGGTTCTCACTCAAGGAAAATAGGTGTTGTCATTGAATTTCACTTGTTCAAGATGCTTAAGTTCCCATTAAGTTGAGTTCAACTGGTTGTGATTTTCCTTTTTTGGATATCTGGGTTTTTTGTGATTTAGTTAATTGGGTGTGAATTAGAATTTAGCTTATAATTTACATTTGAATTAGAATTTTGATTTGGTTGTTATTTTGGTTCATCTGTGTGTTTGGTTGTTATTTTACACATAATTAATAGAAGTCACCTTGCATCCTCAATGAAAATCCTAGGTTTTGTAGTCTTATGATTTGCCATATGGGTCTTTCTTGTTCTTATTTATCATTATTGGCTTCATAATATCATTTGGAATATCTGTCGACAAATTGAAAGTTCCAATGGATTTAGATTATGGGTAGAATTTTTATGACGGTTTTAAGATCCTCTGTTATTGCATTTCACCTAAGTTCACCTTGGATTTGTTAAAGTCATTCCATAGGCAGCTTCCCTTTTCCTATTGTAGGTTTTAACTCATTTGCTGAGAATGGATAGATGAGCATCACAATATGTGCTGATTTATTAATATTGATTTAAAGCATCTCATAAAGCATAAAGGTGGGGACATAAAGCTTAACTCATAAAGCATCTCCTAAAACTACATAAAGGTGGGGACACCTTCCTCATTTTCTTCATTTTTCTCAATACTTGAATGTTTATATCACAACACAGACACAAATAGTTTATGTGATACTTCGTCACATGTTTGGTCCTTGTGATTAATCTTTCATAAACCATATGCAATTTTGAAGCCTTTTAAGATAGTTTATGTACTTTGTCATGTGCTTGGTCCATGTAGTTAATCTGTGTGCACGTGCATGTGTTAATTTTTACTCAAACTTATCTATTTACTTTGACAACTTTCTTTAGTGTTTTTGGGTCAGTTTTGGTTATTTTTATAATTCCTTTAAGATTCTTATTTGAACTAAAATCACTTATCCACCGTGTGGCTCTCACGAACAACTTCCCTATGACAAATAGGACTTGTGACAACTGACGAAATGTAATTCGAACCTGTAGGTTGGGAGTTAGAATCGAATAAGCCTTAAACTTAGTCGGAAAAGGGATTTCCGGCGGCGAAAATTCAAAACAGTCCCCGAACTACTGTGTGGTTCACACGGATAGCTTCGCCATGACAAATAGGACTTATGAGAACTGACGGAACGTAATTTGGACCCATAAGTTGGGAGTTAGAGCCGAATACGCCCTAAACTTAGTCAACAAAGGACTTTCCGGAAGCGAAAATTCATAATAGCCCCCGAACCACCGTATGGCTCACACGGATAGTTCTCCCATGACAAATAGGACTTGTAAGAACTGACGGAACGTAATTCGGACCCGCAGGTTGGGAGTTAGAGCCGAATACGCCCTAAACTTACTCAAAAAAGGGCGTTTCGGGGGCAAAAATTCAACACAGCCCCCGAACGACCGTGTGGCTCGCACGGATAGCTTCGTCATGACAAATAGGACTTGTGACAACTAACAAAACGTAATTCGGACCCGTAGGTTGGGAGTTAGAGCCGAATACGCCCTAAACTTTGCTCGAAAAAGGGCGTTTCGGGGGCAAAAATTCAAAATAGCCCTCGAACGACCGTGTGGCTCACACGGATAGCTTCGTCATGACAAATAGGACTTGTAAGAACTGACGGAACGTAATTCGAACCCATAGGTTGGGAGTTAGAACCAAATACGCCCTAAACTTACTCGAAAAAGGGCGTTTCGGGGGCGAAAATTCAAAACAGCCCCCGAACGACCGTGTGGCTCACACGGATAGCTTCGCCATGACAAATAAGACTTGTGAGAACTGACGGAACATAATTCGGACCCATAAGTTGAGAGTTAGAGCCGAATACGCCCTAAACTTAGTCGAAAAAGGACTTTTCGGGGGCGAAAATTCATAACAGTCCCCGAACCACTGTGTGGCTCACACGGACAGTTCCCCCATGACAAATAGGACTTGTGAGAAATGACAAAACATAATTCGGACCCGTAGGATGGGAGTTAGAGCCGAATACGCCCTAAACTTACTCAAAAAAGGGCGTTCCGGGGGCGAAAATTCAACACAGCCGCCGAACGACTGTGTGGCTCGCACGGATAGCTTTGCCATGACAAATAGGACTTGTAACAACAAACGGAACGTAATTCGGACCCGTAAGTTGGGAGTTAGAGCCAAATACGCCCTAAACTTACTCAAAAAATGGCGTTTCGAGGGCAAAAATTCAACACAGCCGCCGAACGACTGTGTGGCTCACACGGATAGCTTTGCCATGACAAATAGGACTTGTAGCAACAGACGAAACGTAATTTAGACCCGTAAGTTGGGAGTTAGAGCCGAATACGTCCTAAACTTACTCGAAAAAAGGCGTTTTAGGGGCGAAAATTCAAAACAGCCCCCAAACGACCGTGTGGCTCACACGGATAGCTTCGCCATGACAAATAGGACTTGTGAGAACTGACGGAACGTAATTCGGACCCGTAGGCTGGGAGTTAGAGCCGAATACGCCCTAAACTTAGTCAGAAAAGGGCGTTTCGGGGGCGAAAATTCAACACAGCCCCCGAACGACTGCGTGGCTCACACGGATAGCTTTGCCATGACAAATAGGACTTGTGACAACTGACGGAACGTAATTCAGACCTGTAGGTTGGGAGTTAGAGCCGAATACGCCGTAAACTTAGTCGAAAAATGGCATTTCGGGAGCGAAAATTCAAAACAACCCCCGACCACCGTATGACTCACACAGATAGTTCGCCCATGACAAATAGGACTTGTGACAACTGACGGAACGTAATCCGGACTCGTAGGTTGGGAGTTAGAGCCGAATACTTCCTAAACTTAGTCGAAAAAGGACTTTCTGGGAGCGAAAATTCAACACAACCCGCGAACGACCGTGTGGCTCGCACGGATAGCTTCGCCATGACAAATAGGACTTGTGAGAACTGATGGAACGTAATTCGGACCCGTAAGTTGGGAGTTAGAGCCGAATACACCCTAAACTTAGTCCAAAAAGAGCGTTTCGAGGGCAAAAATTCAAAACAGCTCCCGAACCACCGTGTGGCTCACACGGACAGTTCCCCCATGACAACTAGGACTTGTGACAACTGACGGAACGTAATTCAGATCCATAGGTTGGGAGTTAGAGCCGAATACGCCCTAAACTTAGTCGAAAAAGGACTTTTTGGGGGCGAAAATTCATAACAGCCCCCAAACCACCGTGTGGCTCACACGGACAGTTCCCCCATGACAAATAGGACTTGTGAGAACTGACGGAACGTAATTCGGACCCGTAGGTTGGGAGTTAGAGCCAAATACGCCCTAAACTTACTCGAAAAAGGGCTTTCCAGGGGCAAAAATTCATAACACCCCCCGAATACGCCTTACGCTTAGTCGAAAAACTTGCAACACTTAGTTAAAAAAGCAATAACTTTATTAAAATAACATCTACAAATTCTAATAATTGCCTTTATATATTTATAGGACGAAGAAATTACAAATTACATTGTTTGTGCAGTTGGTTGGAATAAATATTGCATGATACATATATATATATATACTTTCTTTTATTTCCAAAAAGACATTTCTCGATTGTTCTACCTTAAATGCATGTTAGAACATGTTCCACATGACTAACTGAATTGATATTTTGTAACCAATTCTAATATTTTTTTTTTTGTTTTTCTTGGTAGATGGCTTTGTTGCGTGGACTTGTGGATAATCCATATTGGTGTATGGAGAAGAATTTTCACTTTTGTGTAGAACTAATATAGTACTTTTGTCGTCCTCAGCTTTTGTGTAGTTCTTTATTACTAATACAGAAAACTTTTGGCAATCAACAGATAATGACTGTCATGGTACATAGATCACCTTCTGTCGTGATACATGTATACCATTTGTCGGCGTACATATAGGACATTTTGTCATGGTCCATAGAAAATTTTTATCGTGGTACATATATCACCTTTTGTTGTGGTACAGATTATGATGGTAATTTGTACCATGCCAAATGGTAATTTCGCTTGGTAGTAAATGTATTTTTTTGTATACGGAGGGCTTTGATTTTTGTATAATATATTTTGTATAGAATTATTATTTTAGTTTGCACAATAGTTGATTTGTATGGACTTTGATATTTAATGTTATTTATTTTTGGTATATGGATGCAGATTGTGGAATGATTTATAATATGTATCATTTTGTTTTTATACTTACTACAGGTTGCATTGTATATAGACAGGTTGTGGAGAAATTATAATTTCTTGTATACGGAGGGCTTTGATTTTTATATAATATATTTTGTATAGAATTATTATTTTAGTTTGCACAATAGTTGATTTGTATGGACTTTGATATTTAATGTTATTTATTTTTGGTATATGGATGCAGATTGTGGAATGATTTATAGTATGTATCATTTTGTTTTTATATTTACTACAGGTTGCATTGTATATAGACAGGTTGTGGAGAAATTATAATTTCACGATAAAACATAATATCATATTTTTGGCAACGAAACAATTAGTAGTTAACAAGAAATTGAGAAAAGACATTTGGCGACTAAAAGTTTTATAACAAAAAAAAAAAGACATTTGACAACTAAAAGTTTTGTAGAAAAAAAAAAAAAGACATTTAGCGACTAAAAGTTTTGTAGCAAAAAAAAAAGACATTTAGCGACTAAAATTTTAGTAGTCAAAAGAAAATCAAACATTTGGCGACTAAAATATTGCGTAGCTAAAAACAAAAAACTAAATTATAAACACTTTTGCCGACTAAAATTTTAGTAGCCAAAAATATAGAACTTTAGGCGACCAAATATTTAGTAGCCAAAAGAGAAATTCTTTGCCGACTAAACATTTAGTAGCCAAAGATGGGGACTTTCAGCGACTAAATTTTAGTAGCTAAAAAAAAACTCTTTGCCGACTAAAATTTTAGTAACTAAAAAGGTGGGACTTTAGGTGACTAAAAGTTTGGTCGCCGAAAAGGATCTAATTTAATTTAATGTCCAACTTTTCAGCGACTAAATATTTAGTCGCCAAATGAATACTTTGGCGAATAAAATAACTTTAGTCGCTAATTAGCTTTCCCGACTACTCTTCTGCTACTAATTTTGCGACCAAAAAATTTAATCGCTAAAGCCCTTCGGCGACTAAAAATTGACTATTGGCGACTAAAAATTTAGTCGCCAAAAGTGAAAATTCTTTTAGTGTACCTGAGAAATATAGTAGACGTTAGGGAGGGAAATGTAATGTTCCTCCAGCGTAAAAGATTACACTAGGACTGCCTAAAGAATAAGTCAAGTAAAAAAAATTGAATTGGATGCATGATATAGAACAACAAATGCAAAAAATAAATCACTTCAGAACTTGATAAGTACTTGTTCACCCTTCAGACTAGCAAGAGCATCTAGGTCGTTTCGCACTGATGGAGTAGGCCTTGAGATATCTGAATCAGCCTTCATTCGTTTCTTTTTCTGTTCATTACCTTCTGCATGAACATAATACCTAATTTAACACTTAAACAAGAGTAAAGAAAGCAGAATGAGCTTAAAGCATGGAAGCTTCACAAAGAACAACACCAAGGATGCATTGGAATTTAAGGCATGAAAAGTGCATTTCATTCACTCCTTCACCTAGGCCATGTGTACAAGTGATCAAGATCAGACACCATTCCTTTTGTGCCACATTTTACTTGGTTATGTAAGTAGTTAGCTTAATGTTTAACACAGCAACATGAGAACTAACACAATCACATTTTTTTTTTTTTTTTGATAAATAAAGAACTAACACAATCACATGTTAAAATACATACACTGCATTAGCTATCAGCGCATCTAGCATGCGTATAGTATCATAAATGAAAGATTATTTAAGTCCAATATGAATTTCTCTTGATGGATTCCTCATTACTGCCCTCAGGAGAAACAACATTTACAAGGTACATCAGAGAACAGTAATACAGTGTTGCCATGGTTTAAGTAACAATGACTAATCATCCATCAAAGTTAACTACCTCCCACTATGTTGCCCACCAATACCTTTGGCAAGAGCAAAATGAAGAAGAAGAAGAAAGGAAGGAAGGAGGGGATGACAAAAAAAGACATCCAAAAAATTTAAAAACAAAAAACTCAAGGAAGAAGGGGGGGAAAAACACATGCAAATTGTCAATTTCCTAAAACAAGTAAATTGAACTATCTACCTAAGGTGTCTGCTCATCACATAGCTATTTGAGACAATAACAGTCTGAGTGTTTTAGATAAAATATCTTTGATACAGCAGCAAGCTTAGAGTGTCTTTTTCTTTGCATTTTCTGGCAATCATTTCTAAGAGGCGCCCTATTTTCCGTATTTTGGATCTTTAAAGGGCACCCTTCAAATACACGAACATATATATAGATTTCACAAGTCATCCATAATCCATTACAAGGGTTCCAATGTATGAAAATGTGAAACAAAAGAGAGCACAAAGAAGGTAAATTGAAAATAATTACAAACCTAACATGTTGAGGAAACGTTTTCCATTGATGTGCTCCTCAGACTTATTGACAATATTTCCTGTTAGCGTACAGATCAACTCTGAGCTACAAGGCCACACAAAAAGGATTAAAATCAGCACCCAACAAAAACAAAAAAAAAAAAAACTGAAAAGGCTGATACTGAATAGCCTTTCATGTTTGTATAGAAAACACTTTCTAGTCATGGCTTCCTCTTTTTCTTTTATGCTCCGTTTGCTTGATAGGCCTTTATGCTGAAGCTCTTAAAATAAAGTATATCATTTACTCTATTTAATTGTTAAAAAAAAATAGAAGAATAATTACATACTCAAGACCAAATCTTAGAAATTTTTATTTACGCATTACCCAAGAAGACAAAAAGTCACAACCCAACAAAGCCGAATTGGCTAGTGCAATAACTAGTCTTAGCTCAAATAAGCTTGCAAATAAACTTAAAAGAGTGTTTTGAGTGGTGGAATTGGCATTTGAAAATGGAATTTGATATGTTTCAAATCAAAGGAATTTATAATTGGATTTGAATGAGGGGAAAAAAAAACTCATGAAAAATGGTTGGATTTTACAGGAACTAGAATTAGTAAATTTTTTATCTAAACCCATTACCCACCCAACCACCGCTTCTTGTAACTTGCCTACTAGCTAACAAGGGCATCATCATCTTAAAAGAGTTTTCCTTCTCAATTCCTTGCCCATCTTGCAATCCTATTTCTAAAAGAATTTGGCTCCAAACACCTTGCTAAAATTCTTCTAAAGTTTCATATTCCTTGAGGTTTTCTTTGTCTTTCTCTGCAAACAAATGGATACCATAATAATGAATTTCCTCCAACCCCAACATTGAAAAAAAGAAAAAAAAAATCATAAATTCTTTTCATCCAAACAAGCAGACCTAGAAACTCGTTCAAATCATCAATCTGGCCTGTATCAAAATAATATAAACAATCATAAACCCATCTCTTCACAAAATAATACAATCTTCTTCAAGACTTCACACAAAAACAAATTTTCTTTTCAATCACAAATACCCAAAACCCCTAAATTAACATAAACCCATCTCTTCACAAAATAATACAAACTTCTTCAAGGCTTCACACAACAACATAATTTTTTTTTTTTTTTTGCCAATCACAAATACCAGAAACCCTAACTTAACATAAACCCATCACTTCACAACATAATACAAACTTCTTCAAGACTTCACACAACAACATAATTTTTTTTTCCAATCACAAATATTCAAAACCTCTAAATTAACATAACCCATCTCTTCACAAAATAATACAAACTTCTTCAAGCCTTCACACAAAAACATCATTTTTTTTTCAATCACAAATACCCAAACCCCTAAATCAACATAAACCCATCTCTTCACAAAATAATACAAACTTCTTCAGACCTTCACACAAAAACATAATTTTTTTTTTTCAATCACAAATACCCAAAACCCCTAAATTAACATAAACCCATCTCTTCACAAAATAATGCAAACTTCTTCAATCTTCACACAAAAGAATAAAAAAAAATTTTAATCACAAATACTCAAAACCCCAAAATTAATTGAACAGAAGCCACGATCCACCTTGGCATGATGATATATAAACCCTAAATAAACCGAGAGAGATAGAGAGAGAGGGGTTTACAGACCGGACGAGATGGTCTTGGTGGAACGTGTTGAGAGGGGGCTTATTATGAGCCAAAGCGGCGTCAATGAGTCCAATCCAACAGCGCTTGCTTTGAGCGTACGAGTCCCTGGCGTGAGAAGGGACTTCATGCCCAATCTCCACGCATTTGAACCTCCCATTCTCCAGCTTCTTGAATTTCGGCCTCCCCGGTATGTTTTTCCCTTCCTTTCCCTTTCCTTCTTCTTCCTTCTTCTCTCTCTCTCTCTCTCTCGTCTCTGCAACACCACCGCTCTATTCAGTAGGGCAACATACTTGTAGAGTTAATTGTACTTGACACCCTCATATTTTACGTAAATAAAATTTCACATTCGCCTTTTTTTTCACAAACTTTTATATTATTAAATTATTTCTCTCAATATGTGTAAACAAATTCTCTCTCTAGATGTGAGATTTTCTACCAACGAGTATAGTCTATAGGTTTATCCTTGGTTTTCCCTATGTTTCTGAGTTTTTCTTACCTTCGACTTTCACAGCCTTTCTCACTCTCTGTCTGCTCAATATTTACTTACCTTTTCTTTTTCAACCCTTCCTTGTATAGTCTCTTCAGTCTAATTCCATTTTATCTTTTCTTTTTCAACCCTTCCTTGTATGGCCTCTTCAGTCTAATTCCATTTTATCTTTTTCTTATGGCGGACACCACACAATGGCCGATCGATCCCTTCACCATTGAGTTGGAAGAAGGCATGGATGAGAGTGTTGACAACTCGAATCTATGTCTGATTGGAAAGATTTTGGTCCCAAAACTTCTCAACAAGCAAGCGGTCTCTCGTATTATTCTTGGCGCTTGGAAAACTAGGGCTGAGGTGACCATCTCTTCTTAGGTTGATAACATTTATTTGTTTCGTTTTCAGAATGAAGATGATAGAGCTTTGATCTTGAAAACAGCCCCTTGGTCTATTATGGGTAACCTTCTGGTTCTTTAACCACTCACTGTTGATAAAACAATAGTTGAGATGGAGTTTACTTATTGTGCCTTTTGGGTTCAGGTCCACGGTCTTCCCATGGATAAAATAACGAGACGCAATCGACAGATAATTGGGAATCGATTGGAAAATTCATTGGGATTGAAGCTCCAAATGATGGCCTTATACTCTCTCGTAGTTTTCTCATAATTCGGGTGGAGGTAAATATCACACCTTCTCTACCTAGGGGGTTTAAGTTACAAAGACAGATTAAGAGATCAACCGAGATGAAAGAGATCTCGATCTCCTTCAAGTATGGAAGACTCTCTCACTTTTGCTATGACAGTGGAAGAATTGGCCATGACAAAAACTCGTGTAAATTTGTGTCCCGAGAGGCTGGTCGTCAATCTGGTTATGGTCTAGAGATGAGAACTGGGGTGGCCAGAAACATAGGTTTACCAGTGGAATTTTACCGGCATCAGTTTAATGAATTATGTAACGCCTGCCTCTTTCTTAGCCGTTAATTTTATGATTAATCTTAATTATGTATTTGTCTATGCATTATATGCTTATTTATATGTTATGTGCAACATGTTTGTTGATAGATATGTTCATTTATGAAAAAGACTTGTTTGATTCGTTTAATCGTAGAGCTATAAATTAACTAATGGACTAGGTGAGTAGAGTTGGTTCACCTTAATTAGGTCAAGTAGTAATTTAATTAATTAGCTAGGTAATTTAAGAAATGAGACTCTCATTTAATTAATCCAAGTTAAGTAACTTAGATATAGATGTGTATATATATATGTTGAACTCAATAAGAGAGAGAGAGAGAGAACTTGGGAGTGTTAATGAGTGTTCTAGAGTTTGAGTGAGTAAACAAGAAGAGAAAAGGGGAAGGTAAAGGAGAAGAGGAGAAATTGAAGCAACTTCATCAAATTCACTCATTAAGGTAAGCGTTCTTTCTAATTTCTTGCATGAGAATGAATTTTCATCTTGAATTCATGGAATTGAGAGAGAGAGTGAGGAGTTGGGTAGTATAAGTTCTGTTATAACCCTTACAGGAGGAATTCTTCCATATCCTTGCCTTAATGGCATTACTCAAGCTCATTTACTTGGTCTTACATGATTGTAAGCTAGATTTCCATGGTTTTGTTGAAACATAGAATTTCCATATGCACAAGTTTTGTTTTCTCTTTAACCTTGAAGTTGTTTGTGAGATTGTGGAACTTGAGTTTGAATTTAAAGTTCAATTTTTCGTTTGAACTTGGTAATTGTTTATACACCATGTTTTTTAACTTTTAGCCTTTGATTTGATTGAATTTGGGTTTGATTTTTGGTGGTTTGAAGCTCAGAAAACAAAACAGAAATTCGGTTTTGGAACACCCAGAACCGCACGTGCGCGGGCAGGCTCACACATACGGACAACAGGAGAGGTGCTGGGAGCATTCTGCATAGAAAGCACCTGGTGGCACACGTGCAGCACACGTGCAGAGAGAGTCCTGCACATGCGGCTGTTTGGTAGCGTCGGTTTCACTTTTCTGCTTCATTTACCCTACTCCCAGGCCTCCGTTAATGTGATTTGCATCCGTAATTGACGTCCATTTACACTGCATGGGCATTAAATGAAAGTAAAAGACATTTAGAGCAATCAATTCCTAAGTAATAAAACTAATTAGCTGGTTATATGGCGAATTAAGTGTGCTACGCTTATATCTGTCTATGTAGGTCAAACGCCACGTTCCAGTCACCTGCATCACAGAGCCAACTGTGAGTAACACTGTTATAAAGATATGTTTAATTTAAAGTACCTTTTTCCTATTGTAAAAGTATGCTTTGTTTTGATATGTTTTCTTATATTTATGAATGATGATTCTAATTCTGCTTACACTGTTTATCCTGGCATCCTTAGCATCTGTGCACATGATTACAGAGATCTCTGTCAATTCCAATTAATGGGACTCCTGTTTACCATAGTGATTAGGGCTGTGCAAAATATCGCCCAATTCGCTAAAACTGCACCGATCCGCATCAATCCGCACCGCTCGAACTGCTAACCGCGGTTTAAACTTTAAAATTTATAATCCGCCAACCGAACTGCTCCACTCCGCTATAGTTAATACATATATTTTTTTTAACCTCCAATGAAATTTTAATGTAAAAATGAGTATGAGAGAGATTTAAGATATAAATTTATTACAAATTAGTAGTTATATATATGAAACATATTATGTAAAATTACTTTGTGTTATATATCTAAAAAATATTATACAAATTAGTGTTATATATTATGCAAATGTATGATAATTGTTATATGTTATGCAAATGTATGATAATTAGTTAGAATATTGTTCAATCTGCTAAAAACCGCCCAAACCGCAATTTGTCAATCCGCCAATCCGCTAACCCGCCATTCGGTTTGTAATTTTACTCTTAAACCGCCCGAACCACACCGTACACACCCCTAATAGTGATGGCCATCATATCTGATCTTTGGTCTTCATAACCGCCTATTTGGTCTTCTAGACCGCATGTATTTATTGCTTATGGATGTACCACGTATTATATTATGTTTTCTATATGTAATAAGAACATGCTCAGTATGTAATTTGCTTTACATTATGATCATCATTTAGAACCCCTTTACGCAGCTATTATTCACTGGGCTCTAGCTCATATTTTGATATATTATGTAGGTGATCCAGTTTAGGAAAGGACATAGTTGCGTCAACCTTGCTTTGGTTTTGTCAAGCTAACCTCTGTGCCTTACTATAAGGTTCCCATCTGTCAGAGTTTTGAGGTGGCTGGTATTCACCCTTTCGCGCATCGTTCCTCTGTTGTGTTCAGTTTTATTTTGCTTTTGCATGTATTGAGACTGGGGATTCTTATGACTTGATGTATATGTTAATCTATGTATATATGGAGTTGGTCATTTGATCTCATGTAAGTTTTCACAGCTCATTAGACGGTTATTCTTATTCTATAATTAGCTTCCGCTAGCCCTGTTTATTTAATCTGTTCAGTTAGGCCTTTGGTAATCTTAGATTACTGGCTGGTTACGACACTAAACCTATAGGGGCAGGTTTGGGTCGTGACAGAGTGGTATCATGATACGAGTTGTACAGCACACACACGTCCAAATGAGTTATAAAAATGTCCTAGAAAGGAAAGTAGGACATTGTTGTCTGCATGTGTGAGTGTGTGTGGTATGTTGTGATGTGCTTGTGTGTTAATACTACAAGTGTGAACTTTATTTGTCCTATGTTTATTATCACTCTATTTACCTATAGACCAATGGAATAAACAAGACCTACAAAGACATCTGAGTCTTCTGATACAAGAATGGACCAGCTAGAGCGAATGGTAGAATTATTGACAGAAACGTTAAGGCAACAGCAGAGACAGCCATTTCCACCCCTACCTCTGCTACTAATTCTAGTGGAGCTACCTAACAATGGTGACATTATTACCCTAACACAGAAGTTTAACAAACTGAAACCGCCTATTTTTCTGGGAGGCCTTGAACCGTTGAAAGCTAAAGCCTGGATTTTGGAGATTGAAAATTTATTCGAAGTATTCCCATGTACCGAAGAGCAAAAGGTCTTGTTAGTAATTTTTACTTTGCAAGAGGAAGCGAGAAGGTGGTGGATGCTTGTCCGGAATCAACAAACTACCATGACTTGGGCACAGTTTAAGGAAGTTTTTTATGAAAAATATTTTCCACAATGTGTAAGAGACCACAAAGTAATAGAATTTGAGCAGCTAAAGCAGGGTACTATGTCGGTAGCAAAGAATGAAGCCAAATTCATAGAGCTTGGGCGGTATGCGCCACATATGGTAGACACCGATTATAAGAAAGCCAGAAAGTTTGAAGGCAGTTTGGATGTTGAGGTTCTTGATCGAATTAATGTACTCAAGTTAGAAAAATATGTTGATGTTTTGGATGGAGCCATTGTAGCTGAGACGAATGTTGCTGCACTAAGACAAGTAAAGACACCGATGATTGAATAGAAGGGTAAGAAATCGGGATCTAATTTCAAGAAGGGTCGGAACAACTTCAACACTCCACCGAACAAGAGGCAGAATATAGGATCATCTACTAGCGCAAGCCAAGGAAATGATACACCCATCTGCCCAGAGTGTGGGAAAAGACATAAGAGAGTTTGTCACATGATTTCTGGCGCATGTTTCCGGTGTGGAAAAACATGCCATATAATCAAGGATTGCCCCTTAGTGTCCTAAAGCACAAGCTAGCCTAGGGCTAGCTCAACTGCATCAGTGTCAACACCAAGGGTAAATTCGAAAGCAGCTACGGAGAAAGAAACTCTAAAGCAAGGATGGGTTTTTGCATTGGTGCCGGGTGATATACAAACTACAGAGACGGTTGTGTTAGGTATTCTTCCTATCTGTTCTCAGAATGCATGAGTCCAATCCAACAGCGCTTGCTTTGAGCGTACGAGTCCCTGGCGTGAGAAGGGACTTCATGCCCAATCTCCACGCATTTGAACCTCCCATTCTCCAGCTTCTTGAATTTCGGCCTCCCCGGTATGTTTTTCCCTTCCTTTCCCTTTCCTTCTTCTTCCTTCTTCTCTCTCTCTCTCTCTCGTCTCTGCAACACCACCGCTCTATTCAGTAGGGCAACATACTTGTAGAGTTAATTGTACTTGACACCCTCATATTTTACGTAAATAAAATTTCACATTCGCCTTTTTTTTCACAAACTTTTATATTATTAAATTATTTCTCTCAATATGTGTAAACAAATTCTCTCTCTAGATGTGAGATTTTCTACCAACGAGTATAGTCTATAGGTTTATCCTTGGTTTTCCCTATGTTTCTGAGTTTTTCTTACCTTCGACTTTCACAGCCTTTCTCACTTCCTGTCTGCTCAATATTTACTTACCTTTTCTTTTTCAACCCTTCCTTGTATAGTCTCTTCAGTCTAATTCCATTTTATCTTTTTCTTATGGCGGACACCACACAATGGCCGATCGATCCCTTCACCATTGAGTTGGAAGAAGGCATGGATGAGAGTGTTGACAACTCGAATCTATGTCTGATTGGAAAGATTTTGGTCCCAAAACTTCTCAACAAGCAAGCGGTCTCTCGTATTATTCTTGGCGCTTGGAAAACTAGGGCTGAGGTGACCATCTCTTCTTAGGTTGATAACATTTATTTGTTTCGTTTTCAGAATGAAGATGATAGAGCTTTGGTCTTGAAAACAGCCCCTTGGTCTATTTTGGGTAGCCTTCTGGTTCTTTAACCACTCGTTGTTGATAAAACAATAGTTGAGATGGAGTTTACTTATTGTGCCTTTTGGGTTCAGGTCCATGGTCTTCCCATGGATAAAATAACGAGACGCAATCGATAGATAATTGGGAATCAATTGGAAAACTCAATGGGATTGAAGCTCCAAATGATGGCCTTATACTCTCTCGTAGTTTTCTCAGAATTTGGGTGGAGGTAAATATCACACTTTCTCTACCTAGGGGGTTTAAGTTACAAAGACAGATTAAGAGATCAACAGAGATGAAAGAGATCTCGATCTCCTTCAAGTATGAAAGACTCTCTCACTTTTGCTATGACAGTGGAAGAATTGGCCATGACAAAAACTCGTGTAAATTTGTGTCCCGAGAGGCTGGTCGTCAATCTGATTATGGTCTAGAGATGAGAACTGGGGTGGCCAGAAACATAGGTTTACCAGTGGAATTTTACCGGCATCAGATTAATGAATTATGTAACGCCTGCCTCTTACTTAGCTGTTAATTTTATGATTAATCTTAATTATGTATTTATCTATGCATTATATGCTTATTTAAATGTTATGTGCAACATGTTTGTTGATAGATATGTTCATTTATGAAAAAGACTTGTTTGATTCGTTAAATCGTAGAGCTATAAATTAACTAGTGGACTAGGTGAGTAGAGTTGGTTCACCTTAATTAGGTCAAGTAGTAATTTAATTAATTAGCTAGGTAATTCAAGAAATGAGACTCTCATTTAATTAATCCAAGTAACTTAGATATAGATATGTATATATATATATGTTGAACTCAATAAGAGAGAGAAAGAGAGAGAGAGAGAGAGAGAGAGAGAGAGAACCTGGGAGTGTTAATGAGTGTTCTAGAGTTTGAGTGAGTAAACAAGAAGAGAAAAGGGAAAGTAAAGGAGAAAAGGAGAAATTGAAGCAACTTCATCAAATTCACTCATTAAGGTAAGCGTTCTTTCTAATTTCTTGCATGAGAATGAATTTTCATCTTGAATTCATGGAATTGAGGGAGAGAGTGAGGAGTTGGGTAGTATAAGTTCTGTTATAACCCTTACAGGAGGAATTCTTCCATATCCTTGCCTGAATGGCATTACTCAAGCTCATTTACTTGGTCTTACGTGATTGTAAGCTAGATTTCCATGGTTTTGTTGAAACATAGAATTTCCATATGCACAGGTTTTGTTTTCTCTTTAACCTTGAAGTTGTTTGTGAGATTGTGGAACTTGAGTTTGAATTTAAAGTTCTATTTTTCGTTTGAACTTGGTAATTGTTTATACACCATGTGTTTTTAACTTTTAGCCTTTGATTTGATTGAATTTGGGTTTGATTTTTGGTGGTTTGAAGCTCAGAAAACAAAACAGAAATTCGATTCTGGAACACCCAGAACCGCACGTGCGGCGGGCAGGCTCACACATACGGACAACAGGAGAGGTGCTGGGAGCATTCTGCATAGAAAGCACCTGGTGGCACACGTGCAGAGAGAGTCCTGCTCATGCGGCTGTTTGGTAGCGTCGGTTTCACTTTTCTGCTTCGTTTACCCTACTCTCAGGCCTCCGTTAGTGTGATTTGCATCCGTAATTGACGTCCATTTACACTGCATGGGCATTAAATGAAAGTAAAAGACATTTAGAGCAATCAATTCCTAAGTAATAAAACTAATTAGCTGGTTATATGGCGAATTAAGTGTGCTACGCTTATATCTGTCTATGTAGGTCAAACGCCACGTTCCAGTCACCTGCATCACGGAGCCAACTGTGAGTAACACTGTTATAAAGATATGTTTAATTTAAAGTACCTTTTTCCTATTGTAAAATTATGCTTTGTTCTGATATGTTTTCTTATATTTATGAATGATGATTCTAATTCTGCTTACACTGTTTATCCTGGCATCCTTAGCATCTATGCACATGATTACAGAGATCTCTGTCAATTCCAATTAATGGGACTCCTGTTTACCATAGTGATTAGGGCTGTGCAAAATATCGCCCAATCCGCTAAAACCGCACCAATCCGCATCAATCCGCACCGCTCGAACTGCTAACCGCGGTTTAAACTTTAAAATTTATAATCCGCCAACCGAACTGCTCCACTCCGCTATAGTTAATACATATATTTTTTTTAACCTCCAATGAAATTTTAATGTAAAAATGAGTATGAGAGAGATTTAAGATATAAATTTATTACAAATTAGTAGTTATATATATGAAACATATTATGTAAAATTACTTTGTGTTATATATCTAAAAAATATTATACAAATTAGTGTTATATGTTATGCAAATGTATGATAATTAGTTAGAATATTGTTCAATCCATCAAAAATCGCCCAAACCGCAATTTGTCAATCCGCCAATCCGCTAACCCGCCATTCGGTTTGTAATTTTACTCTTAAACCGCCCGAACCACACCGTGCACACCCCTAATAGTGATGGCCATCATATCTGATCTTTGGTCTTCATAACCGCCTATTTGGTCTTCTAGACCGCATGTATTTATTGCTTATGGATGTACCACGTATTATATTATGTTTTCTATATGTAATAAGAACATGCTCAGTATGTAATTTGCTTTACATTATGATCATCATTTAGAACCCCTTTACGCAGCTATTATTCACTGGGCTCTAGCTCATATTTTGATATATTATGTAGGTGATCCAGTTTAGGAAAGGACATAGTGGCGTCGACCTTGCTTTGGTTTTGTCAAGCTAACCTCTGTGCCTTACTATAAGGTTCCCATCTGTCAGAGTTTTGAGGTGGCTAGTATTCACCCTTTCACGCATCGTTCCTCTGTTGTGTTCAGTTTTATTTTGCTTTTGCATGTATTGAGACTGGGGATTCTTATGACTTGATGTATATGTTAATCTATGTATATATGGAGTTGGTCATTTGGTCTCATGTAAGTTTTCACAGCTCATTAGACGGTTATTCTTATTCTATAATTAACTTCCGCTAGCCCTGTTTATTTAATCTGTTCAGTTAGGCCTTTGGTAATCTTAGATTATTGGCTGGTTACGACACTAAGCCTATAGGGGCAGGTTTGGGTCGTGACAGAGTGGTATCAGGATACGAGTTGTACCGCACACACACGTCCAAATGAGTTATAAAAATGTCCTAGAAAGGAAAGTAGGACATTGTTGTCTGCATGTGTGAGTGTGTGTGGAATGTTGTGATGTGCTTGTGTGTTAATACTACAAGTGTGAACTTTATGTGTCCTATGTTTATTATCACTCTATTTACTTATAGACCAATAGAATAAACAAGACCTACAAAGACATCTGAGTCTTCTGATGCAAGAATGGACCAGCTAGAGCGAATGGGAGAATTATTGACAGAAACGTTAAGGCAACAACAGAGACAGCCATTTCCACCCCCACCTCTGCTACCAATTCTAGTGGAGCTACCTAACAATGGTGACATTATTACCCTAACACAGAAGTTTAACAAACTGAAACTGCCTATTTTTCTGGGAGGCCTTGAACCGTTGAAAGCTAAAGCCTGGATTTTGGAGATTGAAAAGTTATTCGAAGTATTCCTATGTACCGAAGAGCAAAAGGTCTTGTTAGTAATTTTTACTTTGTAAGAGGAAGCGAGAAGGTGGTGGATGCTTGTCCAGAATCAACAAACTACCATGACTTGGGCACAGTTTAAGGAAGTTTTTTATGAAAAATATTTTCCACAATGTGTGAGAGACCACAAAGTAATAGAATTTGAGCAGCTAAAGCAGGGTACTATGTCGGTAGCAAAGTATGAAGCCAAATTCATAGAGCTTGGGCAGTATGCGCCACATATGGTAGACACCGATTATAAGAAAGCCAGAAAGTTTGAAGGCAGTTTGGATGTTGAGGTTCTTGATCGAATTAATGTACTCAAGTTAGAAAAATATGTTAATGTTTTGGATGGAGCCATTGTAGCTGAGACGAATGTTGCTGCACTAAGACAAGTAAAGACACCGATGATTGAATGGAAGGGTAAGAAATCGGGATCTAATTTCAAGAAGGGTCGGAACAACTTCAACACTCCACCGAACAAGAGGCAGAATATAGGATCATCTACTAGTGCAAGCCAAGGAAATGATACACCCATCTGCCCAGAGTGTGGGAAAAGACATAAGAGAGTTTGTCACATGATTTCTGGCGCATGTTTCCGGTGTGGAAAAACATGCCATATAATCAAGGATTTCCCTTTAGTGTCCCAAAGCACAAGCTAGCCTAGGGCTAGCTCAACTGCATCAGTGTCAACACAAAGGGTAAATTCGAAAGTAGCTACGGGGAAGGAAACTCTAAAGCAAGAATGGGTTTTTGCATTGGTACCGGGTGATGTGCAAACTACAGAGACAGTTGTGTTAGGTATTCTTCCTATCTGTTCTCAGAATGCTTATGTGTTAATTGATTCGAGATCTACATATTCTTTCGTGTCCTATGTTTTTGCTCCAAAATTATTTAGACCCTTGGAACCAATGAAATATGTATTAGTTGTAACCTCTCTGGCGGGAAGAGCTATGATCTGTGCATCCATGTATCCTGCATGTGAGATCATTATTGGAGGCATGAGTTTGTATGTAAATTTGTTACCTTTAGACATTGCATATTTTGATGTAATCTTGGGGATGGATTGGTTAGCAAAATATTGTGCTACAATTGATTGCTCAACTAAACAAGTTGTGTTTCGTTTACTTGAAAGGCGTGAATTTACATTTAATGAAGATAGTGTCATATCTCCTCCATATTTGATTTCCTCCATGAAAGCAAATAGACTGATTAATAAGGGTTGTAAAGGATTTTTACGTTCTGTGTTAATGGTACCAACTACAACTAAACCTAGTATGAATAGCATTCCTGTGGTGAAAGAGTTCCCAGATGTGTTTCCAGATGATTTGCCAGGGAATCTAGTTGATAGAGAAATTAAGTTCACTATTGAGATAGTACCGGGTATGTGACGCCCCGATTCTACACCATAGGTTATAGTCAAGGGAGAGTCACTAATGAGTCCTATGGTCAATATCCAAGTAAAATCCCAGATAGCCGGAGGAGTCAAATTAGCCTCCCTTCTAAGTTCAGCTTTCTTAGACAGCGCACTACCCTTTTAACAGATCTTAAAAAGTATTGACACAAGGTCTCATAAGCAACAGTAAGGTTCAAACATAGAATATAAATACATAACAACCACAATATGTATATAATTCAAAAGATGGTTCCAGTACATTACATCCCAAAAGAAAGCTTAAATCTTCAAATGAGTCTTTACAAAACATTCAAAAAGAAACTTCTAATTTTTCTAAGATAGCCAAAAGTCTTCAAAAGTTTCGGGCTCGTTGTCTCCAGCTATGAGTTTCGCTTCGTCACCTGGCATGATACGCCGTGAGCTTTGAATGCCCAGTAAACACACACACACCCTACTCCTTTTTTCCAGTCCAATACACATCACAATTATAACATCAAGTAATAAAGCATGATACTTCGATAAATAAATAAAGGGTTAAGTTAGATGTTAGCAAACTAGAAATTCCCCAAAGAGATTTCGTCCTCCCAACCACAAGAATCGGACGCTTATTATTCTGTATGCCCCCTCTTTTGCTGCTTTGTTGCAGACCTAACCTCGGATGCCTACCAACGATTATGTACCATGTAGCGCCAACCGCAGGGCCTCAAAAGAGACGGTAAAATAGGGCCTTGCCCGAATCCCTCCTTACTCCAAACCACCTAGGGTCCAAATACAACCGTTCCGTTCAAGGGTTCCGAAAAATCACTTGCGCAAGGCTTTAACTTTCAAATAGAGAACACATCCCAACAATCCATATATCACATATTCTCATCTTTTCATTACTCAAGTGCTCGAAAACCCATTACCCTCCCCATTAGGTTTCCCGTTTGAATTAAATGTTTTAAAACAAGGCTAGTCCAACTTACAAGACAATAATATCCATATAAGCATGCGTTCTTAAGATGAGAAAGGTAAATAGCATAACCACAACACATATAATATCATGCCAAGATATGATCATAAGCTAATAAGCAATCTCATGAACTCAAGGGCATAAAACATCCACACATATCACAGTTTCCAAATTTAGCATCTCATAAAGATTAAAATGTAAGGACTATTTTAGACCTTTCATCGGACTCGGCCTTCCTATGGCTCGTAGAGGATTTGATCTAGTTTCTAGAACATTTTTCGGAAATGGGATTGCTTTTTCAGATTTTAAGTTATTTAGAAAATATTCCAACACTGTCCAGGTTCTGTCCAGATCCGTCGACTGTTACGAAAAATTGATTTTCTTGCAAACCGCTTAATGTTTTTCGATGAAACAAATTTTAGTTGAAAGATAACACCTTAAGGAAGGTTTTGACATAAAATAGAGGTCCAGAATAATTTTGTACATTTTCCCAGAATTTCTGGTAGTGGGCTGCAAAAACAGGTTCTAGGGCGCTTTGCCCAAAACAAGAAGATTTATGAAAAATGGGTTCTACCAAGGGAAGGATTCATTTCTTTTGTGAAGAAAATATGCTAACTATCACATGTTTAACTCATAAAGTTTGTTTGAAAGAGTGCCCTTGAAAAGTTGAGAGATTAGTACAAAAAGAAAATAGTTTTGTGCCAAAATGGGGAAAATACAAGAGAGATGGAATCAATACTCAACCCTTAGCATTTTTAACATGAGAACTCAATAATAAAAGATCTGAAAACATTATTTAGAACCCTTAGAAACATGTATTAAAAAAAAATGGAAAATGAAAGAGAAGGTTGTGTTTGTGGCTTACCTACTAAGCTTGCACAAGAAAGCTCTATTCTTCCTCCTTCTCTCCTCTTGACTTCTCTCTCTTGCTCTCCTCCTTCTCTCTAACCGAATGTGTGTGTGTGGTGTGGTGTTTGTGCTTGCCAAGCTTAGGGGAGGTTGGTATTTATAGGCAATTTTGGAGGTAAAAAGTCCTAAAAGCCCATTAGTTGGAAATTGATGGAAAGGTTAGGATTTGTTTGAAATTTTAAAGGAAGTAGGGATGATTTGGGAGGCTTACTCAAGGATTAGGTCAATACTAGTTAGAACGGAACTAGTTTTGGAATTAGCAACCTAGGTCTATGGTACTAGGTTTGGGTTTCCTAGAATATCTTCATCATGAATCTTGAAAATTGGCTCTTCTCTATTCCCTAGGGTGGCCAACCTTGGGAGAGTGTGATGGGTTATTATTTTAATCATTTTAGGTACTAGTATACATATATATATATATATATATATTACATGATTGATGGTACTTCAAGGTGTACAAGGTACAAGTATTAGTTTGGGGTAAGTTTTGAATTTAAATAAAGAGTGAGGGCTTGTAGTTAAATACATGTAACTTATGTAGAATTAAATTAGGTTAGGGAACTTATTTCGGCTAGGGAAATTCTTGTTTTTGTCATAAATAAAAAAAATAGTAATGCTAACCAACAAGATTCGAATTAATTCAAGTAACCGAAGGGCTTTAAGAAAATAATTCAAACATTAGGGTCATTAAAGTGAATACATAGTTCAGGGGCTTCACAGGGTACGCAACCAATTTCTAAGACCCCATACCGGATGTCAACTACCAAGTTAAAAGAGTTAAAAACTTAGTTACAAGAATTGTTGAATAAGAAATTTATCAGGCTTAGTACATCTCCGTGGAGTGCTCCAGTGTTATTTGTTAAGAAGAAGAATGGAATCCTAAGGCTCTGTATTGATTATCGGGAGTTAAATAAGGTGATAATCAAGAATAAGTACCCGTTGCCACGTATTAATGATTTGTTTGACCAACTACAAAGGGGCACAAGTATTGTCTAAAATTAACCTGTGATTTGGGTATCACCGGTTAAAAGTTAAAGCTGAAGATGTGGAGAAAACTGCCTTTCAAACAAGATACGATCATTATGAATTCCTCGTTATGCCTTTTGGGGTTACTAATGCACCAGTTGCTTTTATGGATCTAATGAACAGAGTTTTTAAGCCGTTCCTTGATGAATTCATTGTGATTTTTATTGATGGCATCCTAATTTACTCCAAAAGCAAGGAGGAACATGAACACCACTTGAGACTTGCTCTTCAAACATTGAGGGAGAAAAAATTGTATGCTACATGGTCGAAATGTGAATTTTGGCTGGATAGTGCGATGTTTCTGGGACATGTGATAACGAAAAAGGTTATCCCTGTTGATCCACAAAAGATAGAGGCTGTTGTAAATTGGCTGAGACCAACGAATGTGACAAAAGTTTGCAATTTCTTAGGCCTAACTGGATACTATCGCAGATTTGTGAAGGATTTCTCAAAAATTGCTTTGCCACTCACTCAATTGACACAAAAGGGAGTATCATTCGAATGGACAGAACCACAAGAGCAAGCTTTTCAAGAGTTAAAGACAAGACTTGTAACGGCGCCGATCCTCACTTTACTTTCCGGAACGAATGGCTTTACCATTTATAGTGATGCCTCTTATATAGGCTTGGTATGCGTGTTGATACAAAACGGAAAGGTGATTGCCTATACTTCCCGGCAGTTAAAACCGCATGAAAAGAGTTACCCGACTCATGATCTGGAACTGGCTGCAGTGATTTTTGCATTAAAAATTTGGCGTCACTACTTGTATGGGGCTACATGTGAGGTGTATACGGATCACAAAAGTTTGAAATATTTCTTTACTCAGAAATAGCTAAATATGAGGCAGCGTAGATGGCTAGAGCTGATAAAGGATTATGATCTGCAAATTATGTAACATCCTGGAAAAGCTAACACGGTGGCCGATGCCCTTAGCCGAAAATTCATGGGAAACTTAGCTTGTTTACTCACTAGACAGAAAACAGTGTTGCATGAGCTGGCAATAGTTGAAGACATCAAAAAGAAACAATTGCAAAATGAGTTCCTCAAGAAAATAGTGGATGAACGGAAATTTAAACCTAGACCGGGATTCAATTTTGAGAGTGCTACACTCAAATTTCAAGGACGGTTATGTGTACCAAGCGACAGTGATTTGAAAAAGGGGATCCTCCAAAAAGCCCACAGTTCCAATTTCTCTATCCATTCGGGGAACACAAAAATGTATCAAGACCTAAAGAAGAATTTTTGGTGGCCGGGAATGAAAAAGGAAATTGCTGAATTTGTATCCAAGTGTTTGCAATGCCAGCAAGTTAAGGCAGAACATCAACGACCCGTAAGATTATTTCAGCTATTACCAATACCGGAGTGGAATGGGAACATATCACAATGGATTTTGTGGTTGGCTTGCCTCGCTCTAATAAAGGTATGGATTCTATTTGTGTAATTGTAGACCGATTAACAAAACCTGCCAATTTCTTGCTTGTCAAAACGACATATAACGTGGATAAACTGGTTACCCTGTATATGAATGAGATTGCGAGATTGCATGGAGTGCCCGTATCGATTGTGTCTGATAGAGATCCGAAGTTCACTTCGAGATTTTGGCAAAGTTTGCAAAAAATAATGGGAACGAAATTGAGGTTGAGTAGCGCATATCATCCGCAAACAGATGGCCAATCAGAAAGGACGATACAAACACTAGAGGATATGCTACATATGTGTGTGCAAGATTTTCAGGGAAACTTGGAGACACATTTGCCATTAGTTGAATTTGCATACAACGATAGTTATCACTCGAGTCTTGGCATAGCACCATGCGAGGCTCTCTATGGCAGGAAATGTCAGTCACCTATCTGTTGGGCTGAGGTTGGAGATAGATTGTTATTGGGACCCGAACTTGTGCAAGAGACTACAGAGAAAGTGAAGCTGATCCAGCAGCGATTAAAAACAACACAAAGTCGACAGAAAAATTATGCTGACGTGCGTAGACGAGAAGGAAAATATAAAGGAGGAAACCATGTTTTTATCAAATTTATGCCAATGAAGGGACACACTCGTTTTGGAACTAACGGTAAGTTAGCACCTCGATACATCGAACCGTATGAGGTCATTGAGAAACTAAGTCTAGTGGTGTACCAAGTAGCCCTACCTCCGGATATGGAACACATGCATAACATTTTCCATATTTCCATGTTAAGAGAATCTATTTTAGACTCTCAACAAGTTATTAAACCTACTCAGATACTTATGAGTAATGACTATACATATACAGAACGGCCCATCCAGATTATTAGTCGTCGTATTATGAAGTTGAGGAATAAAGACATTTCGTAAGTACAGGTAGACTAGCAAAACCACAGTGGCATAAATGCAACTTGGGAAAGAGAAGTGGATATGCAAGAGAAATACCTTGAACTGTTTCCATCAGACCCTGCACTTTTCACTGAAGAAGGTACTTGAGTTTGGAGGACCAAACGTCCTAAGGGAGAGAGACTTAACTCTCGCCTCTTACTTAGCCATAAATTTTATGATTAATCTTATTTATACATTTATCTATGCATTATGCTTATTTATGTGTTATGTGCATCATGTTTGTTGACAGATATGTTCATTTATGAAAAAGACCAGTCTGATTCGTTAAATCGTAGGGTTATGAATTAACGAATAGTGAATGAAGTTAGTTCACCTTAATTAGGTCAAGTAGTAATTTAATTAATTAGCTAGGTAATTCAAGTAACGAGGCTCTTATTTAATTAATCCAAGTCAAGTAACTTAGATATAGATATGTATATATATATGTTGAACTCAATAAGAGAGAGAGAGAGAGAGAGAGAGAGAGAACCTGGGAGTGTTAAAGAGTGTTCTAGAGTTTGAGTGAGTAAACAAGAAGAGAAGAAAGGAAGGTAAAGGAGAAGAGGAGAAATTGAAGCAACTTCATCAAATTTACTCATTAAGGTAAGCGTTCTTTCTAATTTCTTGCATGAGAATGAATTTTCATCTTGAATTCATAGAATTGAGAGAGAGAGTGAGGAGTTGGGTAGTACAAGTTCTGTTATAACCCTAACAGGAGGAATTCTTCCATATCCTTGCCTGAATGGCATTACTCAAGCTCATTTACTTGGTCTTACATGATTGTAAGCTAGATTTCCATGGTTTTGTTGAAACATAGAATTTCCATATGCATAGGTTTTGTTTTCTTTTTAACCTTGAAGTTGTTTGTGAGATTGTGGAACTTGAGTTTAAATTTAAAGTTCTATTTTTCGTTTGAACTTGGTAATTGTTTATGCACCATGTTTTTTAACTTTTAGCCTTTGATTTGATTGAATTTGGGTTTGATTTTTGGTGGTTTGAAGCTCAGAAAACAAAACAGAAATTCGGTTCTGGAACACCCAGAACCGCACGTATGGCGGGCAAGCTCACACATGCAGATAACAGAGGAGGTGCAGGGAGCATTCTGCATAGAAAGCACCTGGTGGCACACGTGCAGCGCACGTGCAGAGAGAGTCCTGCACATGCGGCTGTTTGGTAGCATCGGTTTCACTTTTCTGCTTTGTTTACCTCACTCCCAGGCCTCCGTTAGCGTGATTTGCATCCGTAATTGACGTCCATTTACACTGCATGGGCATTAAATGAAAGTAAAAGACATTTAGAGCAATCAATTCCTAAGTAGTAAAACTAATTAGCTGGTTATATGGCGAATTAAGTGTGCTACGCTTATATCTGTCTATGTAGGTCAAACACCACGTTCCAGTCACCTGCATCACGGAGCCAACTGTGAGTAACACTGTTATAAAGATATGTTTAATTTAAAATACCTTTTTCCTGCTGTAAAATTATGCTTTGTTCTGATATGTTTTCTTATATTTGTGAATGATGATTCTAATTCTGCTTACACTGTTTATCCTGGCATCTTTAGCATCTGTGCACATGATTACAGAGATCTCTGTCAATTCCAATTCATGGGACTCCTGTTTACCATAGTGATGGCCATCATATCTGATCTTTGGTCTTCATGACCGCCTATTTGGTCTTCTAGACCGCTTGTACTTATTGCTTATGGATGTACCACGTATTATATTATGCTTTCTATATGTAATAAGAACCTGCTCAATATGTAATTTGCTTTACATTATGTTCATCATTTAGAACATCTTTACGCAATTGTTATTCACTTGGCTCTAGCTCATATTTTGATATATTATGTAGGTGATCCAGTTTAGGAAATGACATAGTGGCGTCGACCTTGCTTTGGTTTTGTCAAGCTAACCTCTATGCCTTACTATAAGGTTCCCATCTGTCAGAGTTTTTAGGTGACCGGTATTCACCCTTTCGCGCATCGTTCCTCTGTTGTGTTCAGTTTTATTTTGCTTTTGCATGTATTGAGACTGGGGATTCTTCTGACTTGATGTATATGTTAATCTATGTATATATGGAGTTGGTCATTTGGTCTCATGAAAGTTTTCACAGCTCATTGGACGGTTACTCTTATTTTATAATTAGTATCCGCTAGACCCGTTTATTTAATCTATTTAGTTAGGCCTTTAGTAATCTTTGATTAGTAGCTGGTTACGACACTAAAGTTATAGCGGCAGGTTTGGGTCGTGACAAATTGGATTACGTTCGTTACTCCGACATAATTCTAACGCTCAACCGGAGAGCAGGGAGGGCCTGAGGGCAGAGCCGGAGATTGGCCAAACCAATACTGCGGGTAATGGTGCACGATTGCCACTATCGTTCTCTCCTCCTACAAAACAGGTTGTCCAGGCTAAGTTGCCACTATGTCTGCCACGTGGAACAATAGGGGATACTGCTGGGGTTAAGGAGCACGCTCCACTACCTACAAATCTCCATCTTTTGTCACCATCTAAGGTATCTTTACCACCACCTCCACCTTTTATTATCACTAAGATTGGGCCTAACCAATCTGGGCCAGCCTATTACGTTACTGAGCCTTCTAAGGATAGCCCCAACTCCTTATACAGCCCACATTCACTCGTGTCTAAATGCCCAAGCCCATTGCTGGATAGCAGCCTTTCCTCTAGCCTAACTTCTTCACCAAAAGCCCTACCCCTGTGTAAAGGACTTCCAACCCACTTCCTATCTAATGCTTTTCATGGACTATCTTTAAAAAGAAAGGCCAATGAAGAGGATTTGATTAGCCCACACCCCACAAAAACTATCAAGCTAGCCCATGAGTCTTTTAAAGATCTGAACCTTCCCTTAAATCAACTTCCTCCCCCATTTCTTTTCCCTCTGCCTATCGTTGGAAAACCTCAAGCTAGAAAGGGTAAAGTGGGTAGACCTCCCAAGCCTAAAAGGAACTCTGCTAGTATGCTTGAACCCTAAGGCCTATTCAATGTGGAGATTCGGGATGAGCTCTTTGAAAGGGTGGAGTCAATAGATTTGCTATCTTAGGTCCCTAGTACCTTTCATGAGAAGTCTCCAAGAGATGGTAATGAGATTGGCTCAATATTGGAGAAAGAATGGGGGTCCATGCCAAATCTACATAGAATCAAAAAATTTCAATTTGTTATGAATGAGTGCACTCTCATGGATCTCGAATTAAAAGGTAATTCTTTCACATAGCCGAACAATCATATGGGGACGAGTATTATCCGGAAGCGCATTGATCGGGTTATCTCCACTATGGCTTGGAGAGAGTTATTCCCATTTGCACAAGTGTTCCATGATATTATATTCGCTTTGGCCATTGCCCACTCTTGCTCAATACCTGTATTCCACCAAATAGAGTTCCTCGTCTTTTCAAGTTTGAATCAATGTGAACTAGCTCCCTGAATTGCAAAATTGTTATTCAAGACCATTGGCAGATGTCTCATTCGAGATCACCAATGTTTTGATTTTGTCAAAAACTCAAGACTTGCAGAGTGGGACTCAAAGCTTGGAGTTTTGGTGAATTTGGCAACAACAAACTTAAAATCCTCTATCTGAAAAAGAGCAATTGGCTAGAATACAAGCTTCCCCCCTTTCTGAGGAAAACACAAATGCCCAGCGTTTTCTTCAAGATGAACTTTCTGACACTATGCTTTGAGAAGAGATGTTTTTACACCAGCGATCCAGAGTCCGATGGTTACAATATGGTGATCATAATTCTTCTTTTTTTCATGCATCAATTACTCAAAGAAGGCAGTGAAATCAGTTAATTACTCTTCAGAATGATGATGGGCACTAGTTGACTACAGATGAGGAGATAAACACTTACCTCTTAGATTATTTCTCTAATCTGTTCCAGAGTGCGGCTCTAAGGGATATGAACATTGCTTTGCAAGGGGTTAGACAATCGGTTACAGCTACAGTGAACTTCAACCTCACCATGCCTATGTCAGACTCTGAAATAAAAAAGGCAGCCTTTCAATTGGGTCATCTGAAAGCTCCGGGTCCGGATGGTTTTTCTAGGATTTTCTACCACCAGTACTAGGATGTCATCGGGGCAGACGTGTGCAAAGCAGTCTGGAGTTTCTTTGAGAATGGATATCTTCTTCGGGAATAGAATCACACTAACTTAGTACTTATACCTAAAGTTCCAAACCTAGTAACGCTTTCTCAATACCACCCCATCAGCCTGTGCACTTTAATTCAAAAATCATTACTAAGATCTTGGCAAATAGACTCAAACCTGTCCTTCAACTAGTGGTTTCTCCCCAACAATCGACTTTCGTCCTTGGTTGCATGATTCAGGATAATATAATTGTATCTCATGAAGTGTTTCATCACTTAAAAATTAAGAGGAGTGGGGCTGCAGGTGTAATGGCAATGAAGCTGGACTTTAATAAGGCATATGATAGAGTTCAATGGGATTTTTTATATACCTTCTTAGTCAGGATGGGGTTTGATGCAAAATGGATTCAATGGATTATGGCAATTGTTACGATAATTTCCTTCTCTGTCTTTACTAATGGTATGAAACGTACCTCTTTTCTCCCCACTTGGGGCTTACGGCAAGGTGACCCTCTTTTCTCGTATCTTTTTGTACTGGTGGCTGATGCCCTCTCTGTTTCTTTGACCAAAAGTCTCTAGGACCAGCGTATCATGGGGCTCAAAATCAAACACAGCAGCCCTATTTTAACCAATTTATTCTTTACAGATGATGCACTTTTATTTGCTAAGGTGGATGTGACGGAATATCAAGCTTTGAAACAGATTCTGGATTCGTATTGCCTAGCCTCAGGTCAACTCATTAACTTTGCCAAATCTAGGATTGTTTTCTCCTCCAACACTCTTGTTCCAGTACGTCTAAGTATTTGTGGTCTCTTGGGTATTTCTCCTAACCAACAGAGTTCTCAATACCTGGGTTTGCCTTCATATTAGGGTAAGTCAAAGCCTAAGGCTTATAACTTTCTCATTGACAAAGCTGTTCAGAAAATGCAAGGGTGGAAGCAAAGCTTATTGTCACAAATCGGCAGGGAAACTCTTATGAAAGCAGTGGTCCAAGCAATTCCAACCTATGCCATGTCGTGTTTTGTTCTCCTAAAGAAATTCAGCGATTACTTTAACTCTTATACGAGCAATTTCTAGTGGGTTGGAGACCCGGAGGACAGAAGAATCCACTGGGCGAGTTGGGAGCATCTCTCTTTAGCCAAATCCCAAAGGGGAATGGGATTTCGAGACTTTAAAGCTTTCAATCTAGCTCTTCTAACAAAACAAGCTTGGAGATTGTTAAAATATCCCAATTCCCTTTGTGCTTAATTTCTGAAAGGACTTTACTATCCTTCTTCGGATGTTCTCTCAGCTGGCCTCAGGAGAAGGGCCTCTTAGGCTTGGTCAAGCATTATTCAAGAGAGAGACCTTCTTCGTAAAGGCCTTAGGTGGCAAGTTGGAAATGGCCAGTCTATCAGATTTTGGAAGGATTAATGGATTCCTTGTTCTATTCATTTTACTCCTCAAAGTTTGAAACCAGTTGGGTGCCAAGTGCAATGGGTTGGGGATGCAATCATTCAAAATCGTAATATTTGGGACAGAGAAAAACTAATGGGGATTGTCAACCAAGAGGATGTTAAGAATATTTCTGCCATTCTCATCTCCGTGGCGGGCCAAGATAATACGTTGATATGGCACTACATTGGCAAAGGCATTTATGAAGTCAAAAGTGGTTACCAGGTGGCAAAAAAAAAAACTCCAAGTAGCAAGCTACCCCTTAGCTTCCTCCTAAGAATTTCTAGAAGTTCATTTGATCTTTAAAGATACCCTCGAAAATTCGAAACTTGTGGTGACAGGTTTGTAGCAACCGACTAGCGACCAAAAAAAATTTATTCGTCGGAAATGTGCTCCCTCTCCATGTTGCCTTGTCTGTCAACATTGTACCGAGTCCATTGAACACCTTCTTTTCCAGTGCAGTTGGGTGAGAGCTGTTTGGTTTGGGTGTAATCTGGGACTCCAGAATGGGAGTGACCCAATTGTTTCAGCTCTCCAGTGGACCGTCTCCTTAATGCAAACTTGCTCAAATGATCATGATCGAAGGGAGGTGGTGAGTCGGGCTGTCTTGGTTGGTTGGTGTATTTGGAAAGCCAGAAATGCGTGGGTGTTCAACCATGGTTGTGTAAACCCGTAGCAGGTCGTTCGGCGGGCCAGTGCTTCTTGGTGGGAAGTTTAACATGTTCTGCGTCAATCTAAAGCGACTTCTCAACAACATTTTCCTTCGGATAACTCTCATTACAGTTGAGTTCGACCTATTTTTGGCTCTATGAAGATTAATTGTGACACCAGCTTCTCTCTTTATGATGGCAGAACGACAATGACTGTTATTTTAAGGGATGACCAAGGAAAGCTTGTTGATGGAGTAGTCTCCACTATCTACTCTTCTTCGATTAGACAAGGAGAAGCACATGCTATTCTCTTGGCTTATCTATTCCTCCAATCTCTGGGTCTTTCGAATATCCAAGTAGAAAGTGACAACAAAGAAGTGATTGCATTGTGTGTTTCTGAGCTTGTCCTTATGTGGGACTGTTCTGCTATTATCCATGATATTCAGGTCTTGGGATTATCCTTACAAGCCTCATTTGCTTGGATTCCAAGGGAAGCCAACGGAGTAGCTTACTGGCTATCAAGAGCTTATCTTCATGGTGTTTTTCCTTTTGATTGGGTTGTAGATCCCCTTACTGTTCTCTCGGAATTACTTTCTATTGATGTTTCTCTGTAGCCTTCGGGCGTTTCTAAGCACAAAATATATATATATATATAAGGGGAAGCAGGGCAGAGATGGAAATACAGAAATGAAGATGGAAATTCAGAATAATATGCACACAAAATACATTAATTTACAAAAATTAATTTAAAACATTTTATTAGAAAATAACTTACAATTGTTTAACAAGTGTATATGTAGTAACACTGGATTGCTTGCAAATACATTCAATCAATTAATTATTTGACTAGGTGTTTGTTCTCACTCAGATAGTTTCGAATCCAACTCTAATTTCAAATGAATAAGTGATTACATTATATAGAAAAGAAAATGAACTATGCAGCATGTGATTTGGTTGATCATGAGAGCAGCTGGCAGCACATGAACAAAAGCAGGATGTCGGATGCTTTCGGTTGATTGACAAAAGTTGAAGCAGCTTTTGACTTTGTTGATTGATGAACAGTAAAAGTGAACAGTGACTTTTTACTATTCATTACTTCCGATGGAGACATGTGATCAGGGAATCAATACAAATTGGCATCTTTTCTCAAAAGAGTATTGATTGAAACTAATTTATATCTATATGGAATCCAATGGTGATTATGCATATGGATCCTGTGCATCTTGAAATTCGGTTCCATATGGATTTTGATTAGTTAATTCTTTAGAGGAGTTTGAACTGTCTAAACTTTCTTCTAAACTGGTCTTTTGGGCCGGTGCAGGAGGTTCATCTTCAAACGGTTCATCTTTTAATTGGGCTTGGGCCTGATCCATCAAGAGACAGGCCATTTGCAGCAGTTGATCGCTGGATGATCCAAGTTTAACCGTGGGCTTTGATCGGGTTAATTTGGATTGATCGTTGGGCTGAGCCAGTACTGTTGGAGCTTTGGACTTAGCCTTGGATTATGATTTATCAGTTTGGGCTGGACTGGAGGAGCAGCCTTGGATTTCTTCTTTGACTTGGATGATTTGGGCTTGGGACCACTAGATGAGGGGCTTCCAAGGTTGATTGTAGGAAGTTGGCTTCCTTGAGTGATTGAAGCAGTTGGGTTCTGCTGAGCTTTAACCATAGCATGAGTAGGAGCATGCTTGTTAATTGGGAATTCAGATTGGACAATTTCAACAATGCGATGCACTGTGAATTTATCCCACCATTTAACAGAATGTTGGCGGTAAACAACATCATCAGAAATACCACAGTGTCATTTGAATATCTATCAGTAGGATGAATTTGAATTTGCCAAAAATCACTTTTAAATCAAATTTACTAAAAATGACAGCTTGACTGAGTATTTTAATCAAATCTTTTTTATTAGGAATAGGATATCGGATCCATTCTAACACTTTATTTAATGGTTTATAATTGATGACTAAGCGAGGGACACCTCGTTCCAATTCAGCATTTTTATTAACATAAAAAACAGGACAAGACCATAGTGATTTAGTTGGACTAATTATTCTATTTTTTAATAATTCATTGATTTCCTTTTTACACATTTCAAGTAATTCATGATTCATTTGAATACGTCAAGATTTAGTAGGAATTTGTTTTTCATTAAAATTTTTAATATATGGTAATGTGACTACATGTTTTTTCCTATGCCAAAATGCAGTAGGTAAAGTTGAACAAACAGTTGTTTCTAATTTTAATTGAAATTCGTTAATCTGATAAATAATAGCTGGATCAGTTAATTGTTGATCAATTTTTTTATAATTAATTTCTTCTTTGAGGAAAAGTATGTGACGAGTTAATCGATTAATAGTGTGAGAAATATAACAATATTTTAATTGATTTAATTCTAACATTTCAGGAGGAGATAAGAATTTAAAAGTAACAGGTTGATCAAAAACATGAGTAGTTATTCCTTCACTAGATGTAGTAAATGGATATAATAAAAATATAAATGGAGTTCCTAAAATAACTTTATCAGTCATATTTTTGACTAAAATAAATGAGGTTTTAAAACAAACATTATCTTGACAGATATGTATTTTGGGTCATTTATATTTAATATGCATCTTACTACCATTAGCAGAGGTTAACTTTTCATGACATTTTTCATAATACCTAGTAGGGAGTAATCCTTCTTGAATACAATTTAAATCAGCACTAGTATCTATTAAAACAATCACATCTAATTCAAAATTATGAATAACAATTTTAACTTTTGAATACCATTTTTGAATATGAATTTTATTAATTAGATTTAATCGTTTATCTTCAAGATTAGGAGATTGAGATTGGTGTGATCTATTATCAAACAGAAGTTTATCAGGATTAGTATGATCAGAATCATGTTCAGATTCGTTAGGAGATTCATTATTGTTATCATGGAAATTTTCTAAACTTTTATTAAGTTTTAATGTAATAATTTCATCTTCTAGAACTCTATCTTTATTCTGTAAATCTTTAATAGTTTGTTTAATCTGATTGATTTCATGTTGTAAATCTTGTAATGTAATTTCGTTTTGTTTATTTTTAAATCTTTCTAAATTTTTGGATAGACTAATTATTGGTTTATCATGTTTAGGTTTCCTATCAGGATTGATCAATAAGGATTTGAGGTTATCAGTATATTTCTTTTTTAATTATGGATCATCTAATCGACTAATCAATTCAATAAGAGCATATTTTTCTTGATTTTGTTTAGTAAGAACAGTAATTTGTTTAACAGGTTTACAACAAATATCATTACAACCTAATTCAATATTATTATCAGAATCTTCACTGGGTGAATGATAATCAGAGGAAGTATCAGGATGATCAGAAGAGGAATTACTAATAGATTGGTTTAATTGAAAATTTCATATAATTGATTTTTTGATTCATCATTGATGTGAAGTTGATTAACTTTATCTTTTAATTTTTGTTTTTCTTTACATTTATTAGAATAATGACCCTTTTGACCACAGTTATAACATGTTATATGCTTATTAGATTTAGATTTTGGATGTGATTTTTTGTAATATTTCTTTTTGGGTTTAGTATAGAATTTATCATTTGATTTGGAAGGAGAATAATTCTTTTTGTATTTATTAGAGTATTTGTAAGATGATTTATTTTTGGAATATTTATGTGATTTGCAACGAGAGGGTGCTACCGAAGGTAGACCATATTGTTCACAGAAATTTTTTAATTCATATTTAGCCTTATGCTTATCTTTAGTAGCTTTTTGACTAAGTTTAAGATCAATACACATTTTTAATCATTCTTTTTGAATAGTGCTAATTATATTACCATAAGTTAAATTATCATATTCAATAACACCAGTAGGTTGACTAAGAACATCTCTAATTTTATGAGCAAAAAGACTAGGTAATCCATTAATAAATTTCTCTTTCCAAAATGATTTAGTACAATCTTCTCTTAACATTACTCGAGAGGTAAATACATCTTTATACCATTGAAAATCACTTAATGTAGGGCAAGTAAGGTTACTAAGTTGATCATGTATGCGAGAATATATATTAGTAAGGGTTTTAATGAAATGTCTAACTATTGTATATATTAATGTATTAATCTCATCAGGGTGATAATAACCAATAGTTTTATCAAAGATAGATAAATCATGTTCATCTTTTTGATTAGCATGAATAATAGATTCTCTTTGATCTTCAGTAAGGTATTTTTCCCACCAAGATTTGAGCATACCAGTAAAACCAGAGGTGATTAAGGAAACAATTTTAGGTTGAGAATAATCAGGGTAATTACTAAGATAACTATTCGAGACCATAGATAAATGATTTAATTTTTGGAGGATTTGATTTTTACTAAGACCATCAATATTCCATTCATATAACTTTTTAGCGGAGACAGAAAATTAATTGTTGAGATTAGTTTCTTCATATTGGAGATCAAGCGGAGTAGGTCAAGAATACCAATTTTTGGTAGTTTGAGGATTAACTTTAGGATAATGTATTTTATTAAGATTAGAGGATGGAAATTGTTGAGCTAATTGATTTATTTCATTGTCGATGGCATCAGTTTCTGATTGATTAGATATAGTATCTGTAATAGGTTGTTAATTTAAAACAGTTAGACCTTTATCCTTAGATGGAGAGGCTGTTTCAGTAGTAGATAATTTAGTAAATAATTGTTCAATAGCTTTAATAGTAGAATTATCATTGGTAATTAAACTAGTTCGTTTGGAGCGATTAGTAGGTAAATTAAGCAAAGGATGATCTAAGGTTGTATTAGTAGATGTATGGTTAGCAGAATAATCATCTAAATTGGTTTCTATTTTATCTAATTGTTTACCAATTGTTTTTAAATATTGATTAGTATAATTATTTTGTTCAATGACTTTTTTAATTTCAGGGTCAGTGCCAGGCAACTTAAAAGGAGAGGCTGGGACTTCAGAACCTTGACCTTCAATAATTATATTAGATAAGGGAGGATGACTAGAGCTAATAGAAGTATTAGGGGAAGTTTTCCATTTATATTTTGTGATTGTATTAACTTTTTTGTAATAATTTTCAAAGTATTCAAAGAAAGGTAATTCCATACTATATTCAATCATAAAATCATACCATTTTCTAGTTATTCTGGAATGTTGAGCAGAATCATATTTAGAACGATAAGCATGTCTTTTAGTTCTATTTTCTATAGATTTAAATTCAATAAGTAATCTATCAAGATCAAGAGCAAAGGATTTCTTGATTGTCATTAATTGAGGATTTATTGGAGGTATAACTTCAAAATCAGTTTGAGTAGGAGAACCTTGAGATTCATCATCATCTTTAGGTACATGTGTGTGAGTAGAATAAACAGGTTTACTAATTTGAGAAGTGGTAGAGTTATCAATTCCTTTTAATTGACTATGAGAAGTCTGACCAAAAGTTTGGCCAAGATTGATTTGACTATTTTGCCAAAATAAAGAAGTATTAAATATGTCATCATCAATATCAGTATCAGTTGGTACATTAGAAGTACTATGTCTAGAAGATTGACTACGATTAAATTTAATACGAACTGAACCATCAGTGAATTGTTGAACATCTTGGATATCTTGATTAGTAAATTGTTTT